CAAGTCATCACCAAGTCAGTCAATCTCGGCTGGAAATCACTTGCCACTCCCCGAGGAAGGCTCTATTTAAATAGCAGGACATTGCCCCTGTGACTTTACAGCCCCTTTATCATTCACCCTCATAAAAGCACAGGTGTGTCGGGGTGCTCTATAAAAACAGGTGTTTGGTGTGCCTCAGTCACACTTAACCCAGTGTGTCTGAATGTGACTACTATTTACTTCTCGGCTCCACGGAATCTTCTGTGAGAAGCTGGCATGAAAAGAGAAGCTGGGTGTGTGGGGGGAGTGCAGAAGAAGCCAGAAGTAGGGCCTCACTTCCCTGGTATTTGTTACCTTGTGCATGGCGGGGGGGGGGGGCACCAGGCTCACCTGTCCCAGGTGTACTCCTCATTTTCTCTTCCAGTCTCCCAGGAGGATGTGTGGCCGACCCGCTGGCACTTTTACCCTTTCTATCTGCTCTGCAATGATAGGACCTGCCTGCTGAAATCTTACTTATTAACTTTACATAGATATGGCAGGCTGCGATTACAGGAGAATTGTTTGGGAGTGTTGTATCTCGCTTCTTCCCACGTACCTTACCCTGGGAATTGCTTTGTACTTGCACATTGCCATGTGGTGGTGTGTGTTTAATAACCATCAATAAAGATAGGCCTGGGAAAGCGTGGACAGACATAGATTCCCCTAAAACGGAGAAACCAGGAGGGTGCTTGCTGGCTACCCATAGGTGATCAAAAAGGTGTGGTCAAAAGTAAACCTTTGACTAAGCAGCTAAAAGTTTGAAGAGTATGCTCGACCTGAGGATTCCTTGACCATGAATAAAACTCACCTTCTTAAGTCCAAGTTCATCCAGTGTTCATTATCCAAATACCAGGGCGCCTACCCTGCAGCAGGTACTTCTCAAACAGCTTATTTATTAGAGAATCAAGAAAGACAAAGAAGTTGAGCAGCGGCGGCACATGCCTTTAATCACAGCACTAGGGAGGCCGAGGCAGGTGAATCTCTGTGAATTTAAGGCCAGACTGGTCTACAGAGTGAGTTCCAGGACAGACAGGGATACACAGAGCAACCCTCTCTCAAAACACACACACAAAGGGGAGGGGGAGGAGAAAGGAAAGAAGGAAGAAAGAAAAGCAGAGAGAGAGAGAGAAATGAAGAGTGTGAGATATGACTTAGGATATAGCTCAACAGTAGAGTGCTTGTCTAGCATACACAAAGGTCTGGGTTCCCATCACTGGCACCACAAAAAGCAATTAAGTAAATAAATAATAAAATAAGTGTCTGGTAAGAAAATACAGGACATAGAGGGGACATTTTTGAAACAGAAACCCGGAGCATCACCGTGCCACACCCATGAATAACATTTGGACAGAGGAGAGCGGTGGAGGTAACTGTCAAGGAGGTGGCGCATAGCTCCGAAACTCTTGTGCAGAATTAAGCAACTAATTGGAAACAGAAAAATCTAACCCTCACTGCATTATCCAAGCACAGTCAACACGGTTTATTGGACACACAGCAAGCCAGCGGGGACAATACCCTTCCACCAAGGTGACAAATCATCTCAGACACCAAGTCTGTGACTGTCCAGTGGCAAGACTTCAAGAACAGGTAAAGAGGGTACAGCTCAGCTCATCCAGGTTCTCACTTGAACTGGAGTATTTGCTCCCCGTGCGACTGTGGGAGGCTGCTGAGATTAAGGCCCGCCTGGATATTTGTATGAGACACACATTGCCTGGCAACCTCCTCCAGGAGCCAGCAACATACTTGATCAAGAGGCCTTCTGTGAGATCAGGCCAGCCTGGCAGGCACCAGCATGTTTCCAGAGAGCTCACTTTCCATGGGCCCTCTAGGATGGCAGCCAAGCCTGGCCTATAGCAGTTCAGCCCCACAAAAGGAAGAACCATTCCCACTTCACCTAATATCCACATATTGAGTAAGGCTACAGAAGTTCAAACTAGACTCCACCATGCCCACAGACGTGGAGGGACGACAGAGATTAAAGTTTGGCCCTGCCTCTCCCTTTGTTCGGAGCCACCCCACCTCCTTTCTGGGACTTCTGACCCTAAGACTAACCCCAGAGCAGGATACAGTTTCTGCCCCCGTTCCCTGTCACCGTGAAAAACCTTTTTCATTCTATGAGATTTGATCTAGGTCTATAATTGTACACACCACACAGAAAAGAATGATTAACCACTGAGAAAGGGCACAAGTTCCAGAATTCTTCAGGGGATCTCACTTTCTGAGGTCTTCTGAGGAAGTCTGTAGAAGAAACCCATGGCAGCTTCCGGGCTGTTCTCTAAGCTCAGCACCCGAAAGGAAATCATATGGTTCACACACAAGCATGTCCTTCCATCAGTTGGGAAACTCGTTATTTCTCTTGCCGGTCCCTCTGATAGACGCGATATTGGCCTGAAGTTCAAGCGAGGTGCCTGTGTTCTATCCCTTTCATGGCATCCCTAATGTCATGTTTTCTGCTCCTGAGATGAAAAGTTAGCAGCTGAGGAGTCAGGAGACATATCCAGTCTCTCTCCTGGTTTTCCTTTTGGAGCAAAACAGATTAGCCGTAAGAGAGGAGGGCATGTGACTTGGTTTAGCTTGGATGACTGGGAGGGGGCAGGCTGCCTGTTCTGGTGGCCCCTACAAAGCTTTCCTGTCTCCTGGAACTGGGAAGTTAGGATTCTTTCCCTTCCAGAGAATGAATACAGGATGGTGAGCAAATCTGGGCAAGTCACAGTTCAGGAAACTCAAAGAAATGCTTGTTGAAGGAGCCACACTCCAGGCTACCCAGGATACTCACCTGCAGGGCTTCTTCTTCCTCAATTGGAAAAATCCATCCTTGGGGTAACAGATACAATGGTTTGAGACAGTGGGGAGAGTTTCTAGACGGGCAGGAGGAGCGCCTGAGCCTGCTCTAGGTTTTGCTACTCCCTCTCCAGGGAAACAACCACACTTGTGCAAGCCAGGCCTCAGTTTCCTCTCCATTACATGGGGGAAGGATCTCCACTGTTGCCCCCAGCCCATGCCTTCCTGTAATCTGAGATAACTGGAGGGTGGAGGAGAGTGTTATGACCAGATCCGCGAAGTCTCCCAAAACCAACAAGGAGACCGAGTCCCCTTTGTAAAAGGAAAAAGCCTTTATTTTATGCAAGCTTGCAAACTCAGTCACTCCGTGTGTCCAACATATTGGAATAATGGGAGAGCCCTGAGTTCAGTTAGAGTTGAGAATTTATAGTAGTAAAGGTGGGGGTGAGGAATTTCTAAGGTTCAGGACCTCTGATTGGCTGACATTTGCCTAGGGGCGTCCTGGTGAGCATGTGCTGGTAGGTGATTCTATCTACCATGGTTGGAACATTAGGCATTTCCTTTGGATGGTCTGTTCTTCGATGGTGCTCAGGTAATCTCAGTGTATGGTCCTTCCTGCAACCAGGTATTGCTTCAGGGTAAACTACTGAGGCCCAGGCCTCCATTAAACTTATCCGTGGCTGAGTCCTACACCAGCAGGTGATAATGGCTGGAAATAAAGAACGTCCTTTGGGTGGTCTGTTTCTCAGGGCTGGCTCCTACAGGGAGTGGAGGAGAGTAAAAATATATTGTATATATTCATCCATTTCTCTCTCTCTCTCTCTCTCTCTCTCTCTCTCTCTCACACACACACACACACACACACACACACTGATACAGTACTGGGAACTGAACACAGGGCCTCATGTATGCTAGGCAAGGCCTGGTAACACCAAGCTATATCCCCAGCCCTCGACTTTTTGAGACAGGATCTTGCTGAGTTACTAAGGCTGGCCTTGAACTCTGTAGCTCACGCAGGTCTTGACCTTGTCATCTTTCAGCCCCAGGGGGATTCACAGACCTACACCACCAGGCCTCGTTTACATCATTTTCAGTCTTGATTTTTACTCAATTGATTTTTCTGGGCAGCTATATTTATTTCGGTTTCGATTTTTAGAGGCATTTGGTCTGATGTCACCATTTGAGTGGCTTATTTGCAAGCCAAAAAATTGTACACCCTGGGATTTTAGGGCCCCGTCTTCATCCCTACATTCTTAAGCCTTGGGCCTGTCCTTGCATGCTGCCTCAGCCACTAGCCTATCTGGAACCTTTCATGTCCTGTGTCCTGAGGTAGCATCCCGTGGTGTCTGGGAATGCCCTCCTCACCCCTGAACCTGCAGGTTTACCTCACAGAGGCTTGACTCTGAGGCCAGGCTATTGGCTATAAACACATTTAGAGCCTCCCCCATACCATTGTGGCCCAGCCAAGTGGGAGAGTTGAGCACACCATAGGCACCCCACCCCCACCCTGCCGAGAAGGGCCTTCTTGGCAGCCATCCTCCTTCAGAGCCCATTAGGGAAGTGCACATTCCCTTGGTCTCACTGGCTCCAGTGAGTGTTAGGGGGCGGGGGTGGGGGGGGGAGCATTACAGGCTATTAGCCAATGCTGAAAGCCTGTTTTCCACCCCGCCCCCCCCCACCCGACTTCTCCTAGTACCGGCTGGGCTTGGCCAGGCATCAAGCAGGCGTTTTGTTCAGAAGTGGCAACTTATTTTTATCAAAGATGGAATGCAGCCTTGCAGTTGTTTCCAATGCCTTTGCATGGCAACCAAACGTCTGTTCCAAGCATTCCCGAACCCTCTTTCCCCTTGCTCCATCTAAACCCTGGGCAGGGAGTCGCTTAAGAAGACAAAGTTGCAGAAATTAAAACTCGTTATTAATGTCCCTACTTTAAAATGCAGGCTCTAGCTGCTGACTGGAACTCTGTAAATCCTGCCCTAAGGCAAAGTGAGGGTCACAGCACTGAGGTAGTGGGAAGAGCCAGGGCGATGGCTCTTCGCCCTACCCCACCCCAAGTCTTCCATTGCTGTACATCCTCTAGTTAGTCCCTTCCCTCTCTGGAGGTTAGGGTACCCACTAGGAGACACAGGTTGCTTAAACCTTTTCTGGCCACAGAATCTTTGGAAGAGATGAAAGCTGTGGACCCTCCTTGGGTGAGACAGTTCATTTGGGAAATATTTATTAGACTCCTGCTAGACAGACAAGGGCATATAAAGGAATAGATTCAAACTCCTTTTTCGAGGACTGTCCAGGTTATGAGAAGTTCTGCTTGGGACTTCTGTGATGAGCTCGAAGACTCTTATCTGAGAAGACAGTGATGACGATTCCCGGAAAGGATCCTGACGTCACCAGCCAGTCAAACACCTGCGGCCGGAGCAGAAAAGTGGTCACCGAGAAAGTAATCTCCGGCTTCCTTCCAGCCCCGGTGTGGTGTCGCCAGGAGGCACCCACAGACAAACATGCAGGCACAGGATGCCTGGAATGTCGACAGCGTCTCCGGACACACTCCCAGCTGCAAGGAACCGGCTGCCGCCCTGGGGGAAAGGCAAACAAGTCTCTTCCCTCTTGGGCTTCATTTTTCTCACGGAGTCTGAAAGGGCTCTGATCAGGTGATATGTGTGCGGCTGCTCCCAGTACAGGTGCAGGGCAGGTACAAGGGGAGGAGAGAGTCCTGCCCCGTGTGTACTTACTTAAAGCTCTTTCAATAGCCCTAGCAGGATAGCTCTTGGCAAGGCAGCAACCCAGTCTCTGGCAGGCTGCGGGGAATCCGAGTGTGAGAAAGTCAGTCATGCGAAGGAAAAAGGGAAGAAAAAAAACCTTTGAGTCCTCAGGCAAAATACCACACCCCCCCCCTTTCCCTAGCTCTAAAACAAACCCACAGAACATTCCCAAAACCTAGGGGAAAACGTGGGGGGGAGGGGCGTCTCTCCTAGACTGCTGACATTTGCTTTATGCTTTAAAAGCAAACAGGTGAGAGAAGTCAGTGCTCATGGGTGCTGGGCTGCACAGGCAGGCAACGGAGCAGCCCCTGGTTGTGATTACCGGACGTGATGCGTGCAGTATGCAAGATTCTGCTTTCCGATCATCACACCAGGAGCAAAAAGACCTCCGCTCCAAACACTGTACTCCATGTTCCTCCTGCTTTGGGAGTAGGGAAGACTATGACGGGGGAAAAAAAGTTCCTAGGAACCTTTCAAGTTCAAAGAAATCTTTCGGGATTTTGAGTTCACGGCCTCCGTGGGAGGGCAGACAGCACCGATTTGACATACCTTCACTGACCAGGATAAGAGAGTAAAAACTCATCCATGAGTTTATCATTTGCAAAGTAGCCTTGTTCTTGACACTTAGCAGAGTTAAGGGTCGGGGCCTTTATAACTTTGGAAGAGGGCAGTGCACAGGCACAAATATATACATAAGTTTTGGTGACATGGGCCTTCTGTTCCTCTAAGTGTGTATGTGAAGTCCCTTGCTTATTCTACCAGAGCAAATACTCCTAAAATGACAATAAACGAACTGTGATTGGCTGCTGGCAGCTCCACTGGGAGACCTTGACTTGTTCATCCTCCATGTACCTGTCAGGTGCCTTAAAAGCAATAGAACAGACAAGAACTATTAGAAAATACAATTGCATGCCAGGTCAGCACATTAGGGCTTAAGAGCAGACAGCAGCCAAAGCCACTACAGACCTTATTGCAGGAGGCACTGGCTCCAAAGGGTCTTGGTGGGAACCTGCAGAGGGTTAAAATGCTCCCCCAAGAAGCTCTGACTCCCAGGAGATTCCGGGACAATGTATTTGTGATTTTGTTGTTGAGGATTTTTTTTTTTAAGTCAGAGATTTAGTAGGAGCTTTTTAAGAAGCTTGTGAGGTTTGTTGGGGAAAAGCAGGAAAGAGGACAACTCCACAGGTTCGTCGCCTTTCACCAAGAGGAGTTCAAAAACACAGGAAAACCCCACTGTTTAAGAGACAACCGGCAATTTTCTGTCCTCACTGCGGTCCTATCTGCTTAGAATATGAAAGGAGGGTACCACCCCTTTGGTCCAGGTTGCAGAACAACAAAGAAGGCATTGTTTATCATTTTTTCAGAACAAGATGGGGCACAGCCCACTCTTCAGCATGGATACACACATGGACGGACGGACACACACACACACACACACACACACACACACACACACACACACGACACCACCCCAAGGGACAAGAGAATAAATGGCGAATAAGGCAAGTCTGCCTGGGGGTAAAGGTTTGTCTGCAAACTGGGGGTGGGGAGGTGTTCTGGGAGGCAAAAACCAAACCAAACCAAACCAAAACAACTTAGTAAAATGAAAGGTCAGAACTCTGTGAGATGATAGGATACTAAACCCAGGACAAACTCAGGTCAGCAGGGTGTGGGTTAGTGGCCAGGTGACCCGGGCCAAGCAGGTAGCATGTCGACCTACAAGTGCCACTTAGGAGCCGTCCCTGCTGGTCTGATCCCCTTCAGCGGTCTGTCTCCAAGTCCTGCGGCCCACTCTGGACACTTGTCAGGGTCACCTTTCTAAGGAGCACCCAGGTGACTTTCCCCCACTAGGAACCTACTGTGGTGTCTGGAGTCCTTTGTAAAGCAGGATGTCTAAGGGTCTTGTGTAGGGGCCCACACATTTCTTCCTTGCCCCTGCACACACCCTGCATACCCTCAGAATAAAGACCTCAGGCCCCAGTATCTGTGCCTTAAAGGCTATGGGTACTCCCTTCCTCCCCAGCCCCATGACTCAGCATATTCGCCTTAGCCATATTTTTCTGAGGTGCAAAGCACAGATCCTCTCCACCAGTTACTTTACCATAACAGCTTAACGTATGACTAATTCCTCTGGATATTCTCTACAGCATTTTACTTCTGTCTACTGCCTCTCTTAAAGGCTGTCCCAGGGGAGTCTATAGATGGCAGCCATACCCACGCAGGTATCTGGCAGCGGGCTTTCTAGGGACACTGTGTCTTGTTCCACACCCGGTGCAGTTGCGGCTTCATACCGTGAAGGCCCTCCTCCGGATGCCCCCCTTCCCTCAGAACACCATCTAAGCCGCAAGGGAAAGGGCAAACACAGAATCCCCAGGCATTGGTCAAAAAGTAGGGTTCTGTGAGCCTCCGCAGTTGGTTGACTGCTGCTAGGGAGCGGCCACTGTATCTCTCTCATCGTGGTAATCCCCGGGTTTAACAGTGTCTGGCGTTCCATCATAAAAGAGAGGTGGGCATGCCCAAGGTCATGCAGTCAACGAACCACTCCGTCTCAACCCGGACCAGACCTGGAGAAATCATTCACATTATCTCAGTGGGGGTTCGGGATGGGGGTGGGGGAGGGAGGAACGAGTGTGTGCGCCTTGTGTGCCAGGCCTCCCGGACGCGGGAAAAGCTGGGGGCGGGGATCAAACAACGCGCTGGGATCGCGAGCTGCCCCGAGTTCAGGGCGGCGGGAAATCTAAAGGGGTTGGGGACACCGGGGAGGAGGCAAGGGGCGGACGACCGGGGGCAAGCAAGGAGGGGAGGCAGGCAGCCGCCGGGGGCAGTGCGCGCCGCCCGCGCCGTGCGGCAAATCCCCCAGGGAGGCCGCCGCC